ATGTTGCCTTGCTGTATAAATCACTAGTTGATTGGTGCTGCTATCACTGCTATTTATTTTCTATTATTTTTGTGTGTTATATTGCACAGGTTATTTGACTAGTGAGTATCTTGACTGTACCTCGTCACTACTCCACTGAGGTTAGTCTTGATACTTACTGGGTACCGACTGTGGTGTACTCATACTACACTTAAGCATATTTTTGTGCAGAGCCAGGTATTGGAGATATTGGATTCGGACAAAGATTAGAGTATGATCGCAAGGATTCAAGGTAGGATTGCTTGGTCGTCGCAGTCCCTTGGAGTCTTTCCATTTTATTGTACTGTTAATTTCTTATTCGAACAATATTGAGTATTCGATCCTTGAGATCATTTCATGTATTCAGTTAGAGTCCGTGACTCAATATTACCAGTCTTAGGAGGTTGTTTGTTGAATATTTCCATTGTTAGTGTTGACACTTGTATTGAAAAAGAAATGGCTTGAATTATGATTATAATTGGCTTACTTAGTCTTAGAGACAAAGTGTCATCACGATGCCTGTGGTGGGATTTTGGGTCGTGACATTAGGATAGTCTAATTTAGTTAATAGTTAATTACAAGTCCTCATGGGTTCGACATCCGACTTTTGGTCACTTTATTACTTGATGACCGCGTATACTTGTGTATGCGTTTGGCCGCAAGAAAATGCATCCTTGAAATATATTCTCCATTGAAACGAACTAATCAATGATAAGAACTATGTTAGAGATAGGGGCGAAATTATTTACTTTCTTAAGGTAGGGGGACATATTTGAACGGATAGTAGAACTAGGATAAACGTGAATAATTTTCTTTTTTACTTTTTAAAATAATAATAATAATATCCTTTTCTATATNATTTTTTTTTAAATTAGTATTATTATGATCAGGCATAATACCAGTTGACCACATATAGGAAGAGGCTAAACATTGAGATTTACCCTAGAAAGTCTTAGGCAATACTGAAGAACATATAATTGAGCAAGTCAAAGAGCATACATTAAAGTAACAAATAACAAGAAAACATGTCATAGTTGTTTAGAAGTTCAGCCAATACTAACATTTAGAAATTACATGATCATTAATTATGAGAAAGTTAACAAGCTACACATGAATGACTCAATAGAAGCAATACACCCGAACACATTTTGGGCATGAACTAGTTTCTCACAAGAGTCTGAAACAAGGTAGGAAGATGGGTTTATAGCAGGCAACAAGTATAAGCACTCAGACACACAACGTGCTTAAGAAAACCAGAATCAGGGAAAGAATTTAGGCAAGTTCAGATTCTAGAAAAGTTCAGAGCCACGAAATAACTTCAGAGCAAATAAAACTATAAACAGAGATAGCATGGTAATATATTGATTCAAAAACGTTTCAGTGGCATGAGTATACAGAGTATGAATACAAACGAAAGAGGATGAAACTGCAAAGTCCAAAGAACTTACCATTTACCAATTGACGAACAAGTAAATAAGAAGAACAATTTTAGTAGTACTTCAATCGCCAATAGCAAAAGAGAGAAACAAAATCCAAAATCTCAGTGCGTCAGAGTTTCCAAGGGTTTCTGATGAACCCCGGGCAGTTCTCGCACTGAGAAAGGTCAGTTAATCAAATTCTGGTGGCCTTGGCTTTCAGCCGGCCAAGAACCAAAGTTCAAAACAATATAGAGTGAGTGACTACCCAACCGGTCGTAGCTCGGTGGTAAACAAAGATGCATAACTACTCAACCGGCCATACCTCGGTGATAAACGAAGATACATGACTGCCAAATCGGCCATATCTCGGTAGTAAATGAAGATGCATGACTTCCTAACCGGCCGTAGCTCGGTGATAAATGGCTGACTGCCCGACCGGCCGTAGCTCGGTGGTAAATGAAGATGCATATAACACTACATTATGAACATTAACATCTTTATTGTCTCAATAGAAACTTAGAAACATACTTAGACATGCTTTGTATTATATTTCATAGGAATGAATAACGTAGACATCGTTAATTACTAAGAGTAGAACCATTTATGGAATAACATTACATTTACGTTTCGTTACTTGGATTATGCGAAAATAAGGAAGGATTAGCCTTAACATTCCTTTATTGTTTACTTAACTTCACGGTGTTGGTTCATCCCATTAGTACTTCAATCTACAACAAACGATAAGGGAGTATTGTTAAGGTAACGGAAGCTAGAATTCAACACAAATGAGCGAGTAGCTTATATACAAGTATTTGGATAACACCTCCCCTTATTCTTTTCATTTCCTCAAATCAAACAACAAGACCAACATGTCAAAAATATCAACAAACATGTTACATCAACCCCCAACCTTATATAAATCGCAATACATCACCAAAATAGTCCACACAATCTCATACAACAACCAAGTGCTATGTTGCACTTTAACATGGACTTTCATACTAAATAATGAAAAAGATAAGAATGGGTAGAGCGGGTAAAATAAAATGTGTCGCATCGATATAAAATGAAAAAGAAATGAACATGGGTGGATAGAGGTAAATTGTTTTATCTTTTATGTGTATCTAGCACAATTTGCTTGGACAACTTATTTGGATGGTTATTATCTATTGTAGTGTATTGCATTGTTACTTTAAATATAATATTTATTTTGATTGTTACTTAATTATATTATATCGTTAAATTCATCGTTATAAAACAATAAAAAGTGTCAATTTATGGAACGACAGTTTTAGTGTGGTGATGTCGTTACCTTGCTTGTTTCTCTCATCTTGCCCTTCCTTATTATACATTTTTTATTTTATCTTTTACCCTATTTTTTAAAAATATAATAATTCTACTCTGTATCCTATTTTTTTTTAGTAATATTATAAGTTTATTCTTCATATTGTTGGTGAGTGACATCATGAAACGACGTCAAGAGATATAATCTATCCAACTGTTGTATTCATTAAACAATATAATATAATGTAGTACAATATAATACGATATATTTAGGGCTGTCAATTGTTCGGGTCGGTCGATTATTTTATAAAATTTGTACCATAATAATTTTTTGATTATTCTATTATATATAACCAAAATTAGACTCGAAACCGTCCCAATCATGTCGTTATCGGCACGATTCAGTTATATTTTTGGTATTTTTATAAATGTTATGTAAAAGTTACTAGTAGAAGTATAAAGCAATAACATATATATTTTTTTATATTACTTAGCAAAACTCTCTAGACATTTTTACTGTTTAAAAAGTGATGAATTAAGAAAACCTGAAAGATGGCTAGAGTATAGATCCATCAATTATTCTATAGCAGTGTAAAAGAAACTAAGTAAAGACAAAGAAAATATAAATCACACGAGTGTAAAGATATTAACCAAGTTGGGATTCAAGAATAAAGTCGATAGAAGATTAAGCATTCAAAAAGATAAACCTAAATCATACCAAAGGAAACACATTCAATACAATATTGTAATTTGCTACTCATAATCACTAGAATATTTTGTGTCTTGCTAGTGAATATGGTGAAAATAATTTAATTTCAGTAGGAGTAGCATACTAGGTTTGGGATCCGCCCAACCTTTCTTGTTGCCGCCATGCTCCATTTGTATGGCACCAATATAGGCTTTGGAATCCTGTACTTTCGGCTTAAATTCCAAGCACACACAACCCCCCCCCCCCNCAGCAAAGTTTCCGATTATTGTTGCAAGCTTACTCAACTCTGGACATTCACTTGCCTGATGTGATCCTTTACAGAAGTAGTATCCTCCCTTAGGTACGGACTTGCTACCGTTTTTCGGTCCCATGTCGTTTCTCTGGACCCCTGTCCGTTATGGGATGGCCCCTTGCCATTGCCCTTGTATATCTCGGCTATGCCTTTCCCGTTGTCCTTGTCATGATCTCCTCCACCTCTCTCAGTGTTTCCTTCTTTGGACTTGGCAGGCTCCATCTTGAAGTCAACGAGCGACTCAGCTACTATTATGGCCTCGTCCACATTGACTATTTGATGTCTTCTTACCTCATGTTTTGCCCAATTTTGCAACCCATCCATGTTTGGGAGGAAGCATACTCTTATTGTTGATGAGTCAATATTGGAAATGATAGAGCAAGAGATCACCTACTAAGTGGAAATCATAAAATTAAACTCAAAAAGCAAAAAAACAAAATGAGATGGCAAGCCTAAACTTTTCAAGATTGACTTTGGAATATATCATAATTGAAAATAAGGAGAAATCTCCTTCGGAGCTAAACATGTATGCATATATATTGCACCATTAACTTCTGATTAATTAGCTCAAAAGTTAGAAATTTCATTTACACTTTTTCTTCACACACTCATCAGACAAGAAACTGAAATTTAAGACATGGTGAGAAGGCAAAAAAATAATGTAATAATAATAATAATAAACAACTCAATTGTCAATCGATCATGTTTATAAACAATAACTAAAGCATATATATAACTGAAAAAGTAACATGAGAGAGCAAGCATGAGGATTTTCATCACTGAAAATCTGTGGGGAATAATTAGCATACTCCATATTATAATTTTAGTAGTATTTTGAAGGCAAATATTCACTTTTCTTAATGTCTGTCTTGTTACTACTGAAAAATAGGCCTATGGCAACGCCAGGGAAACCGTTGCAACAGATAGGTCAACTGTTGCCATAGAGATATTGCAACGGTTTTGGGCCGTTCCATCAACCGTCGTGGCGATAGAGCTAAAGCAACGGTGATTGTAACGGTTCACATAACTATGGCTATAGTACCGTCTATCGCAACGGTTATTTCTCTCCCTATTGGAACGATTATTCTTTCCAACTGCAACGGTTGAAATCTGTTACCATAACATTTAATGCAACGGTTATGTAAGATATTGTTACGGTTATTAATTTGATATAACAACGATTTCTTTAAGCTATTGCAACGGTCCTGGTAGGCTATAGTAATAGTTTCATTCAAACAATAATATAGCCATTATTGTAAATAAATATTTACATATACAATAAATAGTAAAACAGTAAAATTTATATAAATATCAAAATGAAACAATTCATAATCCAAATTGTCCAAGGACCTAATAATATCCATAAAAAGTAAAATATTTTGACATAAATACGATAACAAACACTCGTTCGTGGCTAGACCATGTATCTACAGCAATTCAAAAGTCTTTTTAAGTAAGGTTTAGATCTTCACTGCCTCTGTCTTCCATTTCTTCATCTACAACACCTACAAAAGAGAATAAATAAAGTCATTATCCTTCAAGAGAATCGAGTCTAAGAATGCTCTTAGTCCAAAAAACCAAGGGAAAATAAAGAACATGACATTAAACTTGATCAATTGCAAGAGATCAAATAAGTACAAGAAAGGCTCCAAAACCGATTGACATTAAACTTGATCAGTTTAGAATATGGTATTGAATATTACTATCAGCTGTCTTCACAGGGAGTACATAGGCATTTCACCAAATATAGGCATGTAAAACTAAAAAGCAGAACAGTATATTCTGCAACATCCCTTAACATCCCATTAATCAGTTGAAACCTCCAAAAATACAGCTGAAAAGCTGCTCAAAAGCGCAGCAAAACAGCTGCAATTCTCCTTCCAAACCAGCCCAAAAACACACAACACAGCCGAGAACCCAGTTGAAAACCATCATGAACCCCATCTAGAATCGACCCTGAAACAACTCCAAAACACAACCAAAACTCCCATAAAACACAACCAAAACAGCCATATAAACCTCTGTTAAACCACCTAAAAATAACTTAGAAACTCCATAAAAATATCAGCAGAAACCTCCAAAAATGCAGCTGAAAAGCTGCTCAACAGCTGCAATTATCCTTCCCAAACCAACCCAAAAACATGCCAAAACACAATCAAGAACCCAGCTGAAAACCAGCGTGAACCCCATCTAGGATCGACCCCGCAACAGCTCCAAAACACAACCAAAACTCCCATAAAACGACAAAGTGCCGGCAAGGCATCAGCAAGACAACCATAAAATTATGCAGGCTTCAATGATACTTATTGTACGCAAGGTCTTTTACAATCACTGTTTGCCAAAGACAATAACATAAAGGTATTGTACTACTATAGCATATTAGTACAAAGGTGGTGTACTACTATATCTCTGATTTGAAGACTCAGAGACATACTTCTTTAACAACGACCTTCATTTAAGTTTTACTCTAGCTTTTAATATATTTGTCTGAACCGTCGACTGAGCACAATACATGTGATGTCCAAGTAAATTCTTATTTCAAAAGTCTTAATATGTGGATATTTCTATCACAATACATATGATGCATATACTCAAATTTTTTACTCAGTCAAGTGTCAAATTATAAGATTGTTGAAGACTATAAGAACCAGGCAATTAGTATATTATAATCCCTCAACAAAAATTTTGGACTTAAAGACCTTATTCTAGCTTTTGAAGTATTTGGAGCTCGACATTTATTTTAATAAAACTTCAAATTCAAAATATGCAACAAAAGGATCCAGAAACATCTGTAGTGACTGGAATCTATAGCTCACCTACATTACATATACCAATTGGGGTATTACAAGCTTAAGGCATCTTTATATTGTTTAAAATAAACAAAAAGTTAATAACTTAACACATAAAATATTAGTAAAAGATATTGTACAATAATCTAAATCTTAGTTCCTTTAATTTCAGTGGTTAAATTAAAATCCTTTTACTACTTATCTTTTTCTATCTTTCATCCACAATCTGAAATTTATAATTTTTGTTTTATAAAACAATATGTAAATTTTTCAATCTCATAATGACCTGTATTTATGGTAAATTTCAGTTTATAGTTTATTGTTACATTGTGCTTCCAAATGGTATAGAATCAACTAATATTGTATAATAAGATCTAACCCGATAAACGTGAAAGAACCAAAAAACAAGATATATATAACATATCAAAACTTACTTTAGTTCAGCATATTTTGCATCATAGTAGCCAAATATTTTACTATGCCACAAAATTAAATCAATGCTTATTTAAGGAAAAAAGAAAAAAAAAGAAAAAAAACGCTTCTAGTTGTTTATGTATTCAGTAAGCACAAAGAAGTAAAGAAAAGAATATGCTATTCTTTTCTCTTCACCTTAACCATCAAACAATATTTTCTTCCTCATTTAATTTTTTTTGATAAGGAAAACCAAAGCCAATCGTATGTTATTTGTGGTCTTGTTCTTGTTCCTATTATTACATAGGCAACTTTTGAGAGCTGCAGCTCAAGATTGTTGTGGTTCTATTTGAGGACATTGGGCTTGTTCTATGACAAGGGAAGGAACAAAGTTCAACAGGCACATTACTGGTCAGAGATTTGAAGATCAAATTTCTGGAAAATTAAGACAACAAAGGATTATGCAAGTAACTTGGAAGAGAAATGGAGATGTCTATAGACTCGTTTAAAATTTTGCAAAACTTGGAAGAGAAATGGAGATGGAAAAAGCATAATTGTTTATAGCAAATAACTATCTTTTAATTACTTTGCTCTATCACCATGTGTCATAAACTGTTCTTCCAACTTGATTCGTATTGTCTGTATTTCCAAATGCATAGCTCTTCAGTTAAGTGTACACAATTCCCTGATTCTAGAGCTAGGATCTTTTGGTACTTATCAATCTTTCTTTGGAAAGGTACTTAAGATAATCTTTTGAGATGATAATGAAATCCACCCTTCCTCCTTTTCCCGCTGACACTCTTCTTGATTCTCTGTATGCAGTTTAGACTATATATTTCTAGCTGAAGTCCATACACTTTATATTAAGATTTCCTGGAGGAAAAAATTCATACATCTCAACATGAGTAGAATGCAGAAATGGTCCTTTTTAACAATACATCTCAGCCATTAAAAAATCTGAACAGTAATTAGGCATCCAAAATCCTTTTACCACATAGGAATATCCATAAATTAGATACTAACCCAACAATTTTATTACTATTTAGAGGCATAAAATTGAACAAACAAGAAGAAACCCACAAAAAAATCCAAAATAAAACTACAGTAAATCATTCAAATTTATTTGGATCCAAACCATTTCAATGCATTTATTAAATGAAAAATGAAGAAATTTTCTAGTGGTACTATTTAGAAAAGAGGACAACGGTACTAACCTTTGATAAAAAATTGGCCTTTTCAATGATACCTTTACGATGAGGAGACAAAGTCTGTGCGCTTTTCGCACCGAAATTGCAGCTTCTCCACCCCCTACTACTACCAAAATCTCTTCACCTACTAATTTTATCAAAAACACAAAGGAAATCAGTGTATCTTACCGTAAATCTGCAGAAAAAAATTAAGACTCTTTGGACATTACTATCAATATTACCTTTGCAGCTAAAGAAAAATTAAGAGACTTCTCCTTCTCCGGCGGCTAGGGATTGGGTATCTTCAGATTTGCTTGGAAGTTGGATCTAGGGGGGAGTATTCTTTGATATGTCCAGAGAGTATTTTCGATGGGGTCTGGAGATAGAAAGAGTTCTTCTATTTCTTTTGCTATTAGAAATTAAAAACAAAGTCTAGGGTTTAGTGAAATAAGGAGGAGGGAAAAAACGAAAATAAAAATAAAAGTGGGTAAAGTTAGGAGGGAAACTGAACCGTCTCCATAGGCCTATTTTGCAAAGAACCGTAGCCACAGGTAATCCTATCGTTACGGTTAAAACAACTGTTGCAATAGAATGCCCTATGGCAACGATTATTTCACTCTTGTAACGGTTTGCTTGCGGGTTGGTCTTATATAACCGTTGCGACAAATACCGTTGCTATAGGTCCATTTTCTAGTAGATCATCTTCTCCTTTGCTTTCCTCAGCTTCACCTTGTTTCTTTTCTTCTTTATCTTTTTTCTCTTCTTCTTTCTTCTCAGCTTCTTCCTTTTTCTCTTCATTCTTTACAACTGAAACTTGTTTTCCAGTTCTCTTATAAACATCATTTGCTATCTTTTCTGAGTCAATGACACCTTTTACGACTACTTGATTTTTTACAAGGTCTGTCGTAACAGATTCTACCCCTGCAATATCGCATTTTCAGAATAGCAATTAACCTGATACTGTGCCTAGGTTATAAAACCAACTCCTGAACCATTTTGGATTAATAATGTAACTTGTGAAAACAGTAAAATATAATTTAAAATATTTAAAATATTTTGGATTAAAATACCTTTAATTTTGCGGATCCGTTTTTGCAAAGCTTGAGCACAAGCATCACAATGCATTTGAACGTTCAAGACAACCGTTATTACTGGAGGAGGCTGCAAGGGGCAAAACATAGTTGACACTTCCATATTAATTCATTTAATCAAAGAAAAATAAATGATTGGCAAAAAAACAAGACACAACAACAAATACCCTAAAAAACGTTGATAATCTATGGCCGTGCATGTTGTACATTGACTTGCACAAAAATATCATTTGTACAATCTACCCTTAAAAATAGCAATACCAATACTATTTTCATGTCCCAAATACGATTATGGTAAGAAAAGCCAACTATAATTTGCATTTCGCGAATAATTACACTGGTAATTTGTCCTGCTAATTATAAGTGATTGCTCATATTATATTAATTTACGTCATTCGCCAACCAGGCTTTCGATTGTCTTTGTTCACATTAATATTTTCACCGATAATGCTAAGCTTTAATTTTGTCTAGTGATTGTTACTATTCTTATATTGTGTGTATATATAGACAACAGCCCAAACATTTCAAATATTGAATGTCAGTTCCGTGAATGCTTTAAGGTAAGATTATCAGATGATTTCGGGTTCAAGCCTTTGGAGCCACAGTTCTTAAAGAGCGGTTTATCCCAATATGGGAAATTTCAACGCGACTGTAGATTTAGTCGGCCTCCAATGCTAGTACCGTTAGCTGGCTGGCAGAGCTTGCTAGTTTCAGTTCTTTTAGCTTAATTAAGAGGTCATGCAGCAGCAAAACCTTGACTGATCCTTGACCTCTAGCTATATAGTGCAAACCCAACTATGGGTCAAAACTTTTCTCAGATCCACATCTAAGCTTCATATAGTTAGATGTGCCCAGTGGCTACGTAATCCAAAATATCCTTTTGCTAAGTTCAACGTAAAAATCCTTTTTGTATGTTATCATGTTGCTTCTATATATATATATATATATATATACCCTAAAAATTGAGTAACAATTAAACTTATATTGTGGTTTTAAGGATATGTGATTTAAACCAGTACCAATTGATGAACAATGAATTAAATAGATAAATTGGACAATAAAATAAATCAAATCGATCTGCAAACAATGTCTCGACCTCGATTCGAGATAGTCTCGAGGTTAGTTAATAAGAATAGGATAGAACAAAGAGAGATGAACAGTAAGTAAAACAAAAAAAAGCAACATATGTGTATATTCTTATCAGTGAATAATGATTGTCCCCCTACAAGTGAATGAGATCCCTTTTTATATAATAGAGGAATCCTAAATAAGGTACAACTCTAATAACGGAAGTAGATCCCATGATTGGCACTAATAACCGCTTTGATTTGATCTGTTCCGGAATTTTCGCCGTGGTCTTCGACCAGTTACTGATATCTCGCCATTCCGTTATTACGCCTTACTCGAAGTCAATCATGCTTGATCTCGATTGTTGCTGCCTCGATCTCAATGAACACTTCGATCTCCAGGCTTGATGTTCTATCTTCGAGCTCGAGCTCGATCTATTATGAGGTTACCCTCGAGGCAACTCCCTTGCCAACGAAATCGAGTATGCCCGATTTCAACCGCATACACATAGTCCCCTCGTTTTTTGGAGTGTAACGAGAAGAAACGAATTCGAGACTTCGATTTAATACCTCGATCAATTATGACGTCAACATCGTAACGTAAGCGACAGAAGCGATTGAAGCGTCGCGTCTGCATAGTTCCCAAGGTCATTAATTAACGCCAGTTGATGGTCATCCATTAGTGCTTTCAAACCATCAAAGTGGCTATTATAAATAGAACACCTACATAATCTTCTCAAACTTTACTTTCAAACTTCTTCTAATCTTCAAAAGCTCTTCTATTCTCTTCAAGTTCATCAACTTTGCCGGTTTCCGTTTGCCAATCTCTTATTAAAACAAAAATTCCGTCTTCTTCTTCCTTAAACCTCATATAGCAATGGCACAAACATCAAAGACCGTTCCTCAAGAAGAAAAGGCCTCCTCATCGCGGTCGGCCGATGACAAAACACCGGTGGAGCCACATCTCGAAGAGTGCATCCCCGGGCTATGTGAACTTACTTTCGACTTTAAAGTCAAAAAACCCTCTTCGGTTCCTGGTTGATGCGAGCCCATGTCTAGATACATCTGTTCGATATCCAAAGGCAATCTCGAGCAGGTGAAAAAAGACCTCAACTGGGAGAATAAAGAGGTGATAATTCCTACCCCCGAGGAGGACATCACCACTCACGTGAAAGGGTTCTTAAGTGTGTATACTTTCCCTTTCACACTGGGTTCCGTCGATACTGTCATAATCGACTTCTGCCGCCAATACTGGGTAACCCCAGGCTAGATCTACCCCTCTTTTTGGCGCATTGTCATTTTGCTCAAATTCTTCTCGAGCAAGGTCGAGGGAAAGTCTTTCACCCTCGATCATCTCATTAGGCTATACAGCCCCCATCTTTGTCGGGGTGGACTGATAAGGCTTCAGCGCCGGGCCACGAAGGTGCTGTTCTCGAGCATAGATGAGGACAAGGACCGAGGATGGATGGGCCGGTTTGTCCGAGTCAGGACCTCCGACTTAATCCCCGCCGAGAAGATGCCATTCCCCGAAGAATGGGACATGAAGCATAAGTAGAACCTCACCGATAATGTTTGATTACTTGTTATGTTTCCTTTACCTCTTCTCATCTATATTCTTCCTTACGGTGCAGCTTCCCCCTAGTTTCCTGGTGCAGTCCCGGACCTTGCAGGTTGGGTTTGACAACTGGTTTCAACCTCTTCATATGCTGAGCACTTGTGGCGCGATTTGGCCAAGGGTTGATGGGATGCCAAAAATCACGGTAAGTTCCCTGTCTGTGTTTGATGCTTTCCTGTGAAATACTTCTTTTTAACTTGATTTCTTCTCACACATGTCTTGGAGATAATGTCGTCATGAGGCCACCTCCCCCCGGGGAAGAGGAGGTCCTGAAGCCGACCAAAGACAAGAAAAGGAGAAGGGCCTCGCCTCCAGATACCCCAAAGCCCAGGAAAATCAGGGCTCGAAAGTCGAAGACTGATCCCGCCGTTCTGTCTGTCGATGTAGTCAAAACGCTACGAGATGAAGATGAGGAAGAAGAAGATGTCGACTGCCTGCTGGTGGCTCAGAAGAGGGAAGGCATCGAAGCTTCGAGAACTGCTGAGCCAGTGACGGTCGAGGAGGTTCAGCCGCAGACCGAGGTGATCTCGGAGGAAGGTCCGAGCAGAGTCCCTAAGTCATCGGGTGTTGATTATGCCTCATGCTGTGAAAAGCAACTGGTGGGTGTGCCCGAAGGGTCTAGTTTTGAGGCCCTTCAAAGAGAAGAGAATGCCCCAAGTGAATCGCTCGGGGCAATTAACATTGATGATTTGCCGCCCGGCCCCACGGTCTCTGAGGGGCAGTTTCGGGATGCCCGGTCCATAAGGACCCCCGATGTGGGGATGCCCCCGAAGGGGATGATATATTTTGCGGCTGCTTTGCGAGGGTCGATGTGTTCCCAACCTGGACACATCACGCATTTTTGATAAGGCTCAGCGGCTTCTGAACCAAGTGAGTTTTAGCCCATGTTACCTTGCTTGCGTTTGTTCTTATTTCTCTAAGTCTGATTTCCTTCCTTTCTGTACAAGCTACGGTGCTCCATCGAGAAGCATCCTCCAAATACCGAGCTGAGCTGGCCCGAAGTAAGGCTGATCTCAAAAAGCTTATGGAGGAGAGAGACGCCCTCAAACTCCTCTATGTGCAAAAAGAAGAAGAGATCATGAGTATTTGAGCCGAGCTGACAAGAGCTCATCAAGATCAGACCGAGCTCATTGAATGGGTAATGTAAATTTTTGGGAGCTTGTTATGTATTAACTTGATATTGGCGACTAACACTTTGATCCTGCAGGTTCAACAGAAGGCCAAATTGGTTGAGCAGCTTCGTGAGGAGGCCAAGATGAAAGAGGCAGAGACTTTGGGGTGGAATCAGAACATGGACCGTCTCACCTCGGAGAAAGATGTGGTTCTGGCCCAACTGTCTTTGGTTATGCATCAACTCTAAAGTGTGAAGGAGGAGAACTTGGCTCGAGCCAAGAAGGTTGAAGAGCTCGAGACTCGGTTGGCCGCTGAGCTTGCAAGGGCCACATCCGAGGAAGAGGCGCTCGTGGCCTCCTACCGAATCGACACTGAAGCCGCTAACACTCGGGCAAAGGAAATTTCAGACTCTGCTGAGGTTAGATTGTCCCATATTGCCGAGCATGCTAGCCGCCAGTCTCGGAGAGAGACTCTTGGGGAGGTACATACTCGTGGCTTCTACCTCACGACTGATATCGACAATGCGAAGGTTTTGGAGGACGGGGCCGGAGCTTTGCTTTTCGATGATGAAGACTCAGCGAGTGGATCCGAGAATGGAGGAGATGAAGATGAAGCTCCCGAAGATGCGGCTCCCGAGGCAGACTAGCACTTAGGATATTTTCTCCTTTTCTTGTGTAAGACCTTGTGTGGTCTTTGTAAATACTTTGCATATATGAAAGATTCCTTTTCTTTCAGTTTCGTGTCTGATTTCAGATTTATGGTAAATTTTGTTTTGCCTTTTCCTTGTGAAAACTTTGTTGCAATCGGGTTGTTGTAGCCTCTATAATCGAGTGAGCAATAGCTCGAACTCATAGTATAACAAACCCTTAGATTTTTTAGTTAAGCGAGGGCGAGTCCCCGAGTTCAACAATATGTTCGGGATTTTGATTTTGGATGACTTGATCGAAGCCATAATTGTACTATTTTCATAGCCGAGTTCGAGTAATTTTCGAACTCACACTAACAGACCCATTAAGGTTTTATATCAAATAATGATGAATCCTCGAGCTATATTCAAGATAGTTTTATTTGAGCTCGGAAGAGTGGAACCCTTAGGTCCGAATTGAGTGAGAACAAAATCTCGAAATCTATGTGTATTAGCCCTTAGGCTCTTTAGATTGGGCCGATATGGCCTCTAAAAGATGGCTATTTTTTCCCTTTTTCGTCTTAGAAGACTTAGTAAAAAATTTCTTTATGCCTTAACATGTATTCTTTACCCATTGGGTTTTTGAGGGTTC